GAGTGGCATGTTCGCAGTGGTTGATCCAAGTATTCTTTTGATGCAATACAATGCTCAAAAGAAGAACATGACCTTGCCCTAGTAGAGTTCGCACTTAAATACTACTCAACTGAGCTAAAGGCTCTGCCAACCACGAAAGCTTAAACACGCAACCGTATGGTCCTCCATGAACTGCTGTAAGATATATCCGAACAAAAAATCCTCCACCCTAAAAATCTTCCGCCCACGAATACATATCCAAATATAGCACCACCATGTAATGGGCAAAATGACCAATGTTGGAGAGAGGGCTGGTTTCTAATTGGAGGGTCAGGGGTACTTAGTAAGTAGGTTAAGTAGGTTAGGAACCCCTATAACCCATATAGTAACCCTAATGATCCCCATTATTAACCTACTTACTAAGTCCCCCTGACCCTCCAAACAGGGGGGCTTGTGATGGATTCATTGCCGACATCCGGACGGCCAGCGCTGGGAAGTAACGTGGGCCCCAGGCCTGAGCTCAAAATCCCGGGGTCCTTCTATATTCTATACCTTAGTACATACCCTGTGTATTTGTATGTGCAAAAATAATGTCTAGGATTCTCAGTAATCGAGGACTAAAAGAAGGCACTCTGTTGCTGTAACTTGATTGTATTTAGAACCTCAAGAAAGGAAGACTTGAACCCTAAACTCTCGAAACCCTCAACCGTGTGAATGCTGGCCTTGTTGCCGTCCGGATCTAGGCTGCAGCACCACACCTCAGGGTTTAGGGATCACGCAGCAGAAGCCGGAGTCCCATACCATTGCAACAATTATCTGCAATCTAATACCATAGTTCTGGTAATTCATGAGCATCTACCCTTTGTTCTTCCTGTGCCCCCACGATTACATCAGATTTGGCTTAAAATCGTATTTCCCAGAATGGGGAGACTTTATATGGGACCGCATAATACTTGGGAACCCCACCATAGGAACCCCTAGTATAATCATGATTTTAAACCAATTCCCACATACCTGTCGCCGCTGCCCTGAGTCAGCCTAACCCCCAAACCCATACAAGCTGAGAGCTGCGCTGCGCCAGTGTGGCCCTCCAAGCGCGAGATGCAGCGGCCAGTCTGCAAGTCCCAGTGCCTTTCCGGCGTGAGGGGTACAACTTTGGGGGGGTGCTATCTAGAATAGGGATGATAATATTTGACCGTTTGTGGGGCGGAGGGGGTGGGGAATTTGAGAGCGTAGCTTCAAATAAGTATAAGGTTTAAGCGTGTAATATTTCGGGGTTTAGGGTTCGGGGATTGTGGTTTCAGGTTTGCTGAGGCTAGAAGCATGGGGGGGCTCTAGTCCGGGCTCGAAGACTTGCGGATTTCGAGCGCCTGCTATCAGCTATTACCTAGCATGCACCACCCTTTTTAGTTGAAGGCCCAGATCAAACTTCTAAGGCAGATGGTGTCAATGGCCTCAAAGGGCTTAGTGTTTACCCGCCCGGGTATGGAGACCCTGTAAACCCAGTTCCGTCGTTTATTGATATGGGGGGGGGGGGNNGGTTCTCAAAATGGGAGGGGGGGGTACCGCATGGGTGTCCTATCGCGAGGATGATGGCATATTGGGGTCTGTGTTGGCTTCCCCCTCTTATTAGAATGGAAGCTGCCATATGTATCCTGCTTCACCTATCCTGCTCCTCATTCTAGGGTTTAGGGTTTAGCGCTTAGGGCTATGAATGATGCCACTAATTCGACTGTCTATCCAGATTGCCACCAACATCGCTATGCACATCGCTGCGCCGGAGCTCGAAAAAGACTACGGGGTGGAACCTAAACTTATCAACTTGGTAGTTTCCCAAAATAGTAAGGGATTGCAATAGTACTCCCCCTAAAGGTACCTCCCCCAGATTTAAACCCTATTAGGCCTTATTAAGCCCTATATGGTCCTTATTAGCTCCTTAAACCCTGGGGGGTACCTTTGGGGGGGGGTACTACTGTAATCCCTTAAAGAGGGGCACCCAAAGATGGACCCTAAAATACAATGGTCGTGAGTCCTTACTATGGGACCCCCAAAATGGTACCCCTCATTTTGGGAAACCCCACTTATCTCTAGAACGCCAGTCGACATTCTCTGGAACACAGCTTGCGGGACGCATCGCACAACTACTGCGCGTGTCTTCGTAGCAGAACAAATAAGCAATTAGTTCACACGATCGCAAAATAACGCAATCAGGAACGTCCAGTGCATTCCCTGCACATTTCACAATCAAATCTTTACTCCCGGTCTCCTAGTCTCAAACATGGCCGAAGCCCGCAACTTGAGGATTACAACTTCAATTCCGCCTTTGCTATCAACAACTCCGAAAATCAAATGGAAAACCACATTCAAAATGAAATGGAAACTCAGGCCATGCGAGGGTTTCTTCAGGTCTTGCCTTGGAGCCTCATGTTCAGCACTTCAGGACTACTGCAATCAAGGGATTTTTTCGATGGTTGGAGGAGAAAATCACTTAGATTTCTACCATGTGCGATTCCAGTATCCTCCTTTCAACTACTACCCAGTTGAAACCCAAAGCTCTCTTGGCCAAGTGACCAGAAGGACCTAAGGCCGCATTTCGTTCCCTGCTTCTTCGCCTTGTAGACATCTAGGTCGCGTAGCTTCAAGTCTAAGTGAAATTTCCAGTTGCAAATTAAACCTGGGCATGTATGAAATGCGAGCTTGGGTACTGCCCCCACCCTTCAACAGTCTATACCAGGGTCATATTAAATTAAAGGCTACAAACAGTTCTATGAGCCACCGTCTAATCTCCTAGTATCGCCCTGAACAACCCCTAAGTATTCCCCTATACTATCCCAACTTCGAGGAGTTCAGATTCTAGCTTACATCATAAATATTACCCAGCTGTTACAGAGTGGGGGCAGTCCCCAATGCAGAGTTGCTATAAGGATTACTGGGGATTAGTAGGGAATAAGGGTATATACATATATGGCACATATACCCGTATAAGTATATAGTAGGGTATGGAAGTTGGGGATAGTAGGGAATAAGGAAATATATCATACAGGGTTTCCATAAAGATTGTATTTCCATATGTTTCCCTTCTCACCAACAGTGAGATGGGGCTGTCTATCACAACTTCTAAAGTGAGGCGTTCCCCTTTCCCCATTCGCAGCTAACATGAAAAAGAAACTCTATACCCCGCCTGACGATCTGATCCTGACCGACGGAAATTGCTTGCTGCAGGTCCCATTCAGCCGCCACGGAGCACCTACGCTTCGAGGAGTCAACGTGGATCAATGGAGGTTTTGAGGAGGTTGTAAGGATGCTGTAGCCATACAGAATTTATTTACGGGGCTTCCAAACTTCCAAATCATCAGGTATCCTTTTTCGGCAGAGGCCGGAAGGACAAAACAAAGTGCAGTCCAATGCTTGAAGTGATCCCACATCAAGGATCCTACTCTCAAGAAACCCACTGCCACATGAGCGTTCCTAGGCCTAAGTACCCATTAAAGGGGGCCCGGGCCATACAACGCCAATTAAGGGTACTGAGAGGGTCCTGGAAAGTAGGGATTTCCTTTTGCAGGGCCATGCAGTAAAGGTTCTAGCAATACGACTACAATGTGTTTACTAATATTATTACCCCCACGTTGCCATACAGGCCAGCCCTGAATGTCGTTGCCTGAAGTTGTTTTTGTTCATTTGTCGGATCTTTCCCCACCTTCCCGTGGAAAACCGTCTCCGACAAGTCAGGAGTCATTGACGCCAAGGTTTAGGTCTCAACTTCAGGGTTTCTCACACTGGGGGTACCCAGGGATTATGGATATACAATGATATACATATATATATATATCAGTTGACTTCCGAGAAGCCGCCGCTTCAACAGACGTGATTGTGCTTCCTGTTCTTTTATCTGAATAATACAAAGGCCTATGCCTATATGATTGACGATCTCATTTGATGTCTATTTGAGATACCCTACACCACATTGTTCAAGTTTCCGCTTCATTTTTGACTTGCTTTTCCACTTGCTTTTCCATTATTGGAGTGACGTTATCCCCTATATACCCATATATGCTCCTTCAAAGGAACCATGACATTGGTAGTGATTTAGGGCCTTGACTTCACCAATACCCTAGTAGAGTACTTGGGGGGTCCCGGGACTTAGTAAGAAGGTAATTAACCTATGAGTCAGTCATATAGGATCCTCAGTCCGTCAGGCCCTCAAAGTAAAAGCCCATGTGCCTATAGCTTTGGGCCTAAAAAATGGCATCTCTGGCATCTTGGGGGTCCTAGGTACACGCACAAACCTGAAACTGTTCCCAAGACCCAGAACCAAAACCCCTAGATAACACTGCTGTGGGGCGGACACTGCTCCTGTGTGATCAGCCAGGGTGGCCACCTGACTGTCAAAACAACAGGCTACACTTGGCTGGGTGATTCCAAAAATGGGATCCAACCTATGTCTCACCACAAGTTTATCATGATTTGATATGGAGCTCCTAAGAGGTCAGTCATCTGTAGTCTAAATTCCTAGTATCCCCCTTCATAACCCCTATAATACCCCCCTGTATAACCCTCTTCAAGGAGTTTTGACTATAGCCTGAACCTCATATGGGGCTCCAAGAGTCATAGAGGGAGATGTAGGGTTGAGGGATTAGGGTTAGCGAGTCTGCAACGACGTGGCCGTCTATGAAGTTGATGTCCCCTAGTTCGGGTCTCTGAAGGACTCACTTCTGGGACGACATATGAAGGTGTGTGGGTAGCCTCAGTGTTAGTAGAAGACAGAACATGCAAAAGTCAGGTACTCGGTCTCCGGCAGATTCCTCTGCGTCGAAATCCCAAACGCGCACTTCCCCGTCTGCGGCGCCAGATAGGATGTGCCTGCGGGGTCAGCGTATGGTCTGGCAGCTTATCGCACTGACTGTACAGGCTCAGATGGTACAACAAATTGCGAGTGCGGGCTCTCGTGTGCACAAATGCGAAGGCTTTTCTGATCTGCGCACTGAAGCAGTATGGGTTCCCGCTTTCCGCTCCAACTGAGCTCAGACGGTGTAGATCTTGACTTTCTCTGGTGCGGTTTTTGACGGAGTATCCGAGCTGGCACCTGCAAAAAGCTTTGCCACAGTGACAACCAAGGACACCACAGCCACCGAAAGGGCCACACCGTGCAAGACGGCCCTACTGGCACTCTTTCTGCGCTTGGCTTTCAGCGCTTTCTCATGGGCCACAACATCAACCAGCTCCTCTTCCATGGTCCACATGCTGGAGCACATGCCATCTTCATGCGAGGGAGCCTTCTTCCACGAGGCCATCTGCACATGTTGGTGCATCTCTTCTTCAGTTGCCCCAACGGACTCCCCAACCTCTTCTTCGAAGATCTCGGGCCGGAGTGGGCTCGTTGTCCCTGACATGTGAGGGTATGGGCAATCGCGTGGGTGAAGGTGATGGAGCCACTGTGCAAAGAGCCGGCCATGGAGTGGCACCAGGCCACCATGGTGGGCCTCGATTTCCTGCAGGCGCTGCACCAAGCTGGCGGCCACACTGCGATTCACAGCAGCCAGAACGGCTTCTGCGGATGCTTCATGGGTCTTCAGCTTCCCTTCCAGAGCAGACAAGTGAGCGTCACACTCATCAATGCAGCAGACTGCATAGTAGCCGGAGGATGCTATGCAGTTCGAAGGGCCAAGGATATAGTTCGGGATCACCACGCGGATGGAATCTGGATCTGACTCGTCCAGTGCTCCGAGCTGCCGCAAGTAAGAGACACTCTCACTGAACTGCCATTTGCCTCCGTGGAGTGCCATGCCGTAGAAGTCACTGAGGCGGACGCGACCAGTGTTTGGGTGCTCCTCGCTGGTCAGCAACTCATCTTTCAGGGCTGCACACTCGTGGCTCTGCCAGCGACCGTAACGCTCACCAACAGCCGCCACAACCTCGGACATGTCCCTGAAGGACAAGTCCTGCTTGTCAGGGATGATGTCCTGACGAGTTTCCTGCAAGAAGGACTGCGTTGCCGGCCATGTCGGGTACTGCTCAGCCACTTCACTTAGCTTCTGCAGCATGTTGTCTGGCTGCAAGTGCTGCATATCTGCCCCCAGGACGAAACTGGCCATGTATGTTTCCAATACTTCCACAGTCTCGGTCATGTTCAGCAGCTGCTCGGCTGGCTTGCGCTGCGCGCGCATCGCAGCTGACAGACGGGTGTCGGCCTCCGCATGAACCATGTTCTCCAACATGGCCGCCAAGACAGCCAAGTCATGGAGATCCAAGCCATGGTCTGTCAGCCGACTCTCGAACAAAGCGACCACATCCTGTGGAACGCGATTGCCCAAAGCAACGGTGGGGGAGGAGCTGTCCCAGGTCTCACCGCGTGGCTCCAAGCCATGGAATTGCCATCCGTGGCGTTGGACGAGCAAGCGGTGGAGAGCATAGCGTGCAGCAGGAGGCCGCACTGCGCCTCGACCGTTCTTTGGAAGGGCGGCAAAGGTCATGGATAGCGCATCTTGAAGGCTTGAGATGCGTGCTTCTGACTCAGCAATATGAGTCTTCATAACGCCCTTCAGCTCTGCGATGATGGGCTGCTTAGGACTCGTCACTGGCGCATCTGTGAGAAATTGCGCTCTGCAGCCCGCAAGGGCGAGCAAAAGGGGAACTGCACAACGTGCAGAGAAGGCGTACGACTTAGCCATGGATACGAGGAATAGACTGTCTAGAGGCAGACTTTCTTGTGTGTGGTGTGAGGTGACCACCACAAAGAGCAGCTCGAGCCAGCACATGCATCCCCCCCACTGATACGCAAAACATGCAAGTTTACAATATAACAAGGACCCCAATGTGTTGGGAGGTAGATAGAGCCAAGCAAAAGCTTGGAAAAAGCCATGATACTGTTGATACTAAAAACTCTGCATGACCATAGTATACTATAATTATTCCCAAGGTATAAGGTACTTAGGGTCATGCAGGATTTTTAGGATCCACCGTAGTAAGGTCACCGGCCTAGGGCTCAGTTTCCCAGGTGTTGTCAATAATGGTATATGGTAGTTTCCCAAAGTAAGGGGACCCCAATATAGACCTCAAAATACTATAATCCTTATTCTAGGAACCCTTAAAAATGTACCCCTAATTTTGGGAAAGCCCCATATACCTCTAGGAAGATCAAAGTTGTTCATCAATTATAGTAACTATGGGGTGATATAAATTATAACCTGGCTACAAACTGAGCGTTTTCTGCTTTATGTGCAGTCGCCGCCCTCATTCACATAAAACTCAACACTTGCTCTGCAGGCGCGCGCCTCCCATCCCAGTCCACATCGACTGATGTGACCCAGTCCTTGTGGCCTGCAGGGTAAGGAGAGAGAGGCGATATTGGAATACTGGAGAAGGTAAGGGAACCCATTATCTAGTGCCTATGGTTTCCCAGAATTAGGGTACCTTTTGGGGGGGGGGGCCTATCTAAAAAGTTACAGTCTATTAGGGTCTATACTGGGGTTACCCTATCTATGGAAACTATTTCATGAGACGCCCATCTGCTAGCAGAGCGTTGCATGAGATGTGTGTGTCTTCAACAGTTTGCTTCTGATGCCTCCTGGGGTTCTGTTCTCATGAACTTGAAGATTGCAAAGACGTTGGCGACATGATGAGGATCGTCAGCACTCTCAAAGATGCTCCATCTTGCTCATGTGCCCCATGGGAGTTTCTCAAAGGGGAGCCCAGCGATCTTAGGTGTAGGTGTGGCTCAGAAGCCCTTGTCGAGATCCCCCTATGACCATCAAGGACGAATTTTGAGGAATTCCCCAAACCCCACACCCCTAAAACCCTCAACCCCTAAACCCAGAATTCTAAACTTCATTCCACGGCACCGGCCTCTGTAGAAACTCTGGAGCGCCTGATCTTCGGGCACCTCTTCGTTGACATCCCACAGGGCCTGCTATACTTACGGGTGGTTGCAGGGTTTAGGGTTTAGGGTTTATAGGGTTTAGGGTTTATAGGGTGTAGGGTTTAGGGTTTATAGGGTTTGGGGTTTGGGGTTTAGGGTTTCTAGGGAAGAAGGGAACATAATATAGGATTTAGGGTTTGGGGTGTGTAGGGACTAACGGGATATACTATATTATCTAGGGATTATATTCCCTTATCCCCACGAACCACCAGTAAGTATAGGGAGTCATCTATAAGGAGTAACTATCGTAATAAGAAATGGGGTTCGGGAAGGTTGGGATACTCTGGGTGAAAGTATGGGTCCGGCATAGCGCTCGCACCACCCCCAGCAGAGAACAGAGGGCCTGAATGGGACGGGGCTACCTGATTACCTCCGCGAAATTAAAGCACCCAGATAGGACCCCCCTAAGAAGGACACTTAGAATGAGAAATGGAGATTTACCCTAAGCGTTCTGCCCTAAAACCGCTATGACTCTAAGGGCTGTACTCACATCTGCAGTCGGAACATCTTCAATTCCTCTCCTCCTGATAATAACCCCCCCTGCCCCTCACTATTCTCACGAACATTTGGTAGTACTGTATAAGGGAGGAATTATCAAGGGGTTGGCAGGTGTTAGCTAAGGTAACGCTTTTGGTATGGTTTCGCAGCTGCTGGTGTGTGTACATACCCCCAACAAGCCGCAAAATGTATTTGAAAAGCCAAGTTGCTCCGTTTAAGCACCCTGTGCTACTTCTCTACAACCCTCCGTAAACGCTAAACCACAAACCCTAAACCCGCTTAAGAACTTCAGGAGTTAGGGACCTCTGTGCTTTAGATGCACGCGAATCTTGCGACATGCAGCAGCTGGACAACAGGCTCACATGCTCATGCCGGAAGCTTCCACCAAGCTCAGTTAACAGAACCTAAACCCTAAACCGCAAGCGTACTGGTTCGTAGTAGGGCAAAAGGGAATATAACATCTATGTACTTCCTATATGATACATTTCCGTATTGGGGAATAAGGTCATAGAATCCCTATTCCCTTATCCCCTACTGAGCACCAGCAAGTACTGGGTTGCTGTTAAGGAACTTAAATTAAGTTACCATAATGGGTATATATAGTAAGTAATAGGGTTTCCCCAATGTAGTAACTTAATTTAAGTTCCTGAATCCCTGTATTCCCCCACTTTCCATGTCATTTTCCATGTTCTTTTCCATTTGAATCTCCATTATAGGGGGGATAATATACCCTAAACCCTAAACCCCATAGTAACTTAATTTAAGTTCCTTAACAGCAACCCAGAGTAAACCAAAGTCAGTCAGCAGGACCAGGGTATGGTCGCCGGAGCCAGTCACCTGGCATCCGAACTGGGTCTAGGTTGGTTAGGGTTAGGATTTAGGGTTTAGGGTTTAGGGGTTTAGGGTTTAGCATTTAGGATTTAAGTTTTGATAGCTTAGGGTTTAGGATTTAGGGCGCCTTCCCCGGCTACATCTAAACCCTAAACCCTTCAGAACAGTTGTCTAGGTGCTACTCTCCACCAGTTACAAAAACCCGAGAATTCAGCTGGACAAGGAATCCCAAGATTGGGAGTCATTACACCCTGGAGCCTGGTAACTTCGAATATTTTGGGGTTTAGGGTTTTAGGGTTTAGCTTTCAGGGTTTAGGGGTGTAGGGACAAAACCCCCCGCGCTGCAAGAAACCCAAATATTGAGAGATGCTCCCATCAGGCAGCCTAAAGCGCCGTCATGTATCCCAAAGGACATAAGCATAACTGGTAGTTTCCCTAAATAGGGAGACCCCAATATAGACCCTAATAGAAAATAATCCCTTTTCTGGGGACCCCGAAAATTTTTTCCCCTAACTTTGGCAAACTACCAACTGCCTCCTGCAAGGACAAGACTAAACCCTCTAAACCCTCAACCCTACACCCGAAACCCCTAAACCCTCTAACTTGGCAGAAGCCCTTCGATCAAAACTTGCCAGCAGGTCCGCCATGTCTGTTTCCCAATCCACATTGAGGCACAGCACAGCTGCCTCAAACGTCAGTGTGGTTTACGACGTTGAGGGTTTAGGGGACTAGGGTTTACCTAGACCCTCAAGTGTAGTTCCTTTTTGGTAGTTTCAATAAGAGGCCTACCCCAAGGAACCATACCAAACCCAAAAAGGAACCACATTCGAAGGTCCAGTTAGAATTTAAGGTAATCACCAACTGGACTTGTAGCGATCGGAAGTCTTAGTTGACGCTAGGATGTTGTTTCATGGGTCTTCTGTCCTCTACGCTCAACACGCCTGAATCCGAAAGGAGCATAATATGGGGTTTCCATAAATCAGGGGTCCCCTTTGGAGAACCTACCAAGGACCATGATGCTATGTTATTTTGGGGTGTATAATGAGGCCCTCCTTTTGGAAGCCCCCAACTAGCTGCAACAATTAAACTAGACAATGTAAATGCTGCAAATAAGGCAGAGCAGCATGCCAGCTAATGTTTAGGTAGCATTAATAAAGGGGGCGACAATTGCGTTTTGTTGCCGGCCCGGAAAATCCCGGACAATCAAATTCCCTCTCTAACAAGTTCACAGCCCGAAAATATATAAACAAGTCCAAGCCGCAATAATACAGGGGTGGCAATAATATTATTGTCCGGCCGGAAACGTCCCGATGTTAATAGGTTCCCTTCTACTTGTCCTACTAGTATTACGAACTGCACTACAAATCCCCATGTTGAGCTAGAGTCAAGCCGGTGCTGCAAGATGCCTTGTGGCGCCAGAAACAGCGCTGCTCTTCGCCTCGCATGAAAAAATCATTGTGCGGATGGCACTAGGAATTACATGTTCACAGTTCTTCTTAGGTGTGTGAGGAAGATCAACAAGAAGCCGTCTAAGGATACTAGTATGAGCAGCTTGGGAACATGGATCCGATGAATCACCTTGAGATTGGCTGGAGATTGTCAAATCACTACCTCCCATTACTACACGCCCCGCAACACCATGTCTGGAAGGATAAAAAATCCTGGAAGCACAGACTTCAGGACTACTTACTACAGGAGATTGAGGACTTTATAAAGGATGACAGGGGAACGGGAATTTCTGTAGTGTCCACAAGACTTTCCAGCTATTGAAAAAGAATCTACAGGTGATACGGTGTGAACGAATCTTTTTTAATCTTCCCATCAAATGATTTTCGGTTTAAGGATGTTAAGAAAGGTTGATACGACAAACTCAAAGCATGTTCCCACCAATCCAAGATTTCCAGCCCAAAGACTGTAATACCAACCNNCCCCCCCCCCCCCCCCGAATATTGCAGTTTCTCCATATGGGAATTTGAATTGATTCAGCATGGGGAGCAAAGTTTTTTTTACTAGGGGAATTGATTAATCGAAGGGGGGATACGTTGGATTCTGAGTGTATGCATAATGGAGACCGAGTAGACTGACTATGAATCTCAAGGTCTAACAATCTACCTTCAGAAAAGAGAACGCCCTTCTTCTGCACACCCAAGAAAGATTCTTCTCACAATGACCATCATGCTTGCATTCGAGGCCTAAACCCTAAACCCCCAAGCCCCTAAACCCGTG